CGCACATACTTCTTGCTAAACTGGTTTCTCTTATTGTTACTGTTCAATTCAGGTTGCTCGATTTAGAATCCGCTCGGCAACGGTTGAAAAGCCATGACGAGAACGCGGATGGACTGGTTAGCTGGGCTGAATTCTTGCACAAAGTTTACGGATATTCCGAACAGGAAATGGAAGATTTGAAGAAAACCGAGGGACCCGAAATACAGGCATTTGTACAGGTTAGACTTTGAGACATTGTCCGTCCATTCCTCTACAGTAGTTCAGTTTTTGCTCAGTTCCAATTAGCCTCAGATTCAACAGCATTCCCGAATAACAGAAATCATCTGTAAACCTTTGATGTATCGCTACTTTTTTCTCCATTCATCATTGATATTATTGAACAAAGCGTGCATAATTCTTCGTCAGCTACAGACGCATATGGGTGGACAGAACTTTCAAGACAACACTGAACTCGTGATGAAACCATATCGACAGTTATTTGGATTTATACATCATTTTTTGTATTACATACCAGTGTATGATGAACAGCAGACGGGGCGGATCCCATAATCACAAAAACCTGTTGTTCAATGATGAAAACCGGTAACCAAAGCCACGGGATTTGAAGTGGCGAAATACATAAGGACCCGCTAGGTCAGGTGCGGCTATGAATCGGACGACAGCAAAGCTGCCTACCACCAAAATCGGGTAGCGATGCCGGGGCTTGAATCTCGATCCGCGGGGTCCAAAGCATACCGGTAACAGCTACTAAGACACTGCGTCATCACCATCACCATCTGACCTGTTTGACGTGTGGTTTTTGCAAATGAATTTGTCTCACACTTTGCATTTTCTCAAGTAAAAGGATGAACTGTGCCAAAAATCTGGTTGGGTAATGGGACAATGGACCACTGCCTATCAGTTCCAAACATTCTATGATGCGTACACGCTTTTGATGCGATCAGCGCGTGACGGATCCGACTGATCGATTAATACATGACGAACAACCAGAATGGATTGATATTATTGATTCAAATACCGAGATTAGGCATTCTTGGTTGATAATCTCCCCGTCGTACCCCCACTCGGAATCAAACGTTGTGACGGAATGAAATTACAATCATCTGCGCAAACCAGCTGACGTTTCTGAGCGCAAATCCTCATGTCACTTGGATATATATGAAGGCTGAGCAAAACGTTTCCGGATGCCCAAAAGCTTTTGGTTGTTACACGAAAATAAGCATAACATTTTCTCAAAGTATTCTCCACCAGCGTTAATGCGCGTACATTTTCATGGGCTAAAAACAAACCGTTCGACCACGATGAAGGCCTCGACTGCAGCTGTTGATGAGTCGTCTCGGATTCCATACCTCTCACGCTCGAATTCCGCAAATCACTTAAACACAAAGGCAACTCACAAACGATCAGCACTTTACTGATGCCTCTTCAAATCACAATTGTAGCCATAGAAAATCATCGCCCTCCATGGACATCGACAGAGTTTCATCCTTACAACAGTCTGTGTATGGCGACCCTCGTATGAATTGTGAGCTGTGTGCGGTTGTTTTGATACTTGGTTCTGTGAGTGAGTTGCAATTACTGAATTGGTGGATTCACAATACGAGATTGCAGTTCACGTTTTCCTTGCCAGATGATGTGCACCTCGTACTCGTCGTGTACACTGCGTACACCGGAAACGCTTTTTGCTCAGCCCTCATACTAGGATTAACAATCTGTTGCTCAATTGTATTATTCTCGAGCTGATGTTTGTTATAGCTGCTTCTCTATCCTAAATAAATTCGAGAATAAGATCAAAAATTTTACCAACATAGTAAACGCAAATCTTAGAAGTGGAATGTTTGGGGTAATTGGGTTTCACTGTTATAAAAAAGTTAATCGAAATCCTCTTTTCTCTGCGCATTCCAGAATGCAGATTAACTACTATTACAAGGTGTAGTGGGCACCTTGGATGCTTGACCCCATCCAAAGGGCGAATAATCCAATGAACCGGACACCGGCCCCTGATGGATTGTGGTTTTCGCACACCGCCCCGCTACCTTGCGGGTCAGGCTTTGGCTGGCCAAAGACTCTGGTTGTGGATTCCTTAAGAAAATTCATTTACCTTGAACTAGGCAACCGGGCAGTATCCAGCGCACATGCAAATCNTTTCATAAAGATTATTACACCATGATTTATTTGGCACATAGTTCAGATTCAGAAGTGCGTGAAAATAAAAAAAATAAAAAATACCAATGCAACTACAATTCGAGATTTTAGGCTTCACACGGGGACAATTGGATCCAAATTCAATTTTTGTTGTGTATCACCCCACCCATCCACCCTTAAATCCTAGTCCGTACAACAAGAGAAAGTGAAATTCGATTCAGCCGATTTGGATAAAAATGGCCTGCTGAATGAGACCGAGTATGCGGCTTTCGAATACCCGCACAACTACCCGCATATGGCCCCGTACGAGATCATTCACACACTGAAAGACTTCGATCGAGACAAAGACGGACTGATCAGTGAGGAAGAGTATTTGCAAGACAGTAAGTTACCTGTTCCCTTCTTTGCTTTGACATTGATTTTTTTATATTTCCCACCACCGGGGCGGTGGTGGCCCGGTGGTAACGTCACCAAGTTACCACCTCGGGGGAAGTGTGTTCGAACCCCACAACCATCGTCTGACTTTCCCAATGACAGCCCTTTGATTGGCCGCTTCCCCCTTCCCCAAAACTGTATCACTGCGTATTCAATAAAAGGAACTGAAATTAAAAAGGCGTGTCCTAACTTCAAAATGACCTCGAACGATACAAACACAATGCAAAATGAACACAAATAGGAAGGCAATTTGAGAGTATTTGTTGAACGACGTCTCGCGTGAAACCGAATCTGTTTCAGCGCTACTACCACCCGGGTTTACTGAACAGAGACCAGTTTTGATCAGCCAAGTAGTGTGACGCTGAAATTACCATACGTAGGGGAAAAATAGATTGCACCTTCCCGATTTCATTCAACTGGATAGACAAGTATTTAACTCAAAATTATCTGTGAGTCGCGGTTTAAGAATCAGTATTATTCATCTGTGCTCACAGTTCAAATTTGACCCGTCCGAAGAAGCGAAAAGACTGTAATACTGATCAACCCTGTGCGAGTTGTTTGGCACAGTGCCAGCACACACGCATTCCTTACGGGACGTTCGGGGTTCCAGTCCCTGCCTGATCGATTAATGTGTGTGTGTGTTTGGAAACTTTGGCGCGGACGAGTTTCTGCGTTTCACGCATACAGTGTCTCAACGATATGCTTTAATAGCAGCACAGATCAAATGTGCTGCTTCCAATCTGTAAGCTGACCCAGATGAACCTGAGTGAACACTCAATCTGAAGAATGGTTCACGGAAGTTCAAAACGGTCTGTTGTACAATCGATTTGTAAGAAATGAATGAAGACTGAATGAAGAAATGAAATCAAAAATTTCAGAGCACACGAGGTGGAAATGAATGAATTTAGAGCACACGATATTTGGGTCCATAGTAATGATTTTCGTGATGGAAAATAATTCATTTGTACAAAATCCGTTGGACCCATGTTGCGACACCCTACTTTTAGGACGGGGATGGCCAGGTGGTTAGGTCACCTAATGGTGACCTGGAAGTCCCGGGTTCGAACCGCTCCATCACCGCGCATCTTCCCTAATTTTGTATTTTCCCAGACAGCCTTTGTATGAACGCGGTCACCTTCCTGAAATCCGTATATTCAATAGATAAAATGGGAATTAAAAAGACATTTGAAAAACAAAACATTAAAGGGGAATTACTGCTTGGATGTAGGGGGCACGAAAAACCCTGTGTGGCTTTGGTATTCAAAATAGGACGCGACTCAATTTAATTGTTCAACTTGAATATCGTTTATGAAGTGATAGCAGTCACAGAATCTAGAGTATACCAATGTTCCAATCGGCTTGAGAAAATCTGACTTGGATAGAAAAGATGAGCACACACAAATGTGCAAAAGCTGGTCAGTTCCAGCCAGAAAAAACTCTTCTGCATCAATCGCAACTTTCCAGTTCGATTTCGTTCGTTCTCTGCAGACAAAATGCAACCCGAGGCTCTGGTCATCGAGAAGGCCAATTTCAAACGGTACGATAAAAACGGAGATGGCAAACTGGATCGCGAGGAACTGGTGGATTGGGTTACTCCTGGTAAGTCATCACCGAGAGTTATGGAACGTGCTCGAAATTAGTGTTATTTTGTTCCGTGCTGTTGAGTAGTACTGTTCTGGTTGAAGTACGCACAGATCAGAATCGCGTATTGGGAATCACGAACTCCACGTAAGCAATGAATTACACTGACACTTGCACGACGGTATCCCACTCAAGGACAAAGACCTCAAGAGTAGCAGTTCATTTATTGGAAGAAATCGAAGGGGTTAGCTAACATGTGAAAAATAAGTTCATTGTTTATCCAAGGATCTACCAATCGCGTGCTCGTATTCTTGGCGTCGTTCAGCTCCTGTCTGGGACGCACGGCTCCTGATTGGTAGGCACAATCGGCCTATGATTCGCTGTCCAGAAGCTGTAACGCGTAGGCATTTTGCTGGCGTCATCTGGGAAGATTGACTTATCACAGCTGCCCGGAAATGGTAACGTGTCGCCTCGAGGTTTGCGTCATCCTGTTCAAACATCACTACCCCTTTGCATCTTCAGTTTTGATTGATAAGGAACGACTATGTGTCGGAAAACAAACGACTATTGATAAAAAAACTTTACACTAGGATTCCATTATTTTACTCACCCCGACGAGGATGTTGCTTCACATTGTTCTAGGTTGAAGAACCCCCGAATATTAATTGCTTCTTAAAAGGCTACTACTACTAAAGTACAACAGCTTTTTCATTAGAAAGCTGATCTCCCTTTTCTGTTTGATATACGGCATTTTTCGAAAACGGAGTCGCAATAAACGATAAACTGAAATGGTCTACCGTGTGCCAGGGATCACAACTCACACCACTCAATCGACACAAATGGATAAATGAGACAAAGATTTCAAACGATCCATGTGTGATGATGGAACCGCGAGCATAAAATACATTTAGGGCGTCTTGTCAGTCAGATGGACAGATATTGGATAAAGATGCGAAATTCCAGCTTAATGCCTTTCTTGGCATCTTCAGTATGAACAAAAAAGAGACCTCTTTCAGAAAAACATCACGCTTATTCCGGGGCAGTGTTCTGTGTATTAGAGGCTTCTCCCCTTACGACCAATTCGATTCTAAGACCTATTTCAAGTGGGTTTATATAGTTCAGTATGCAAAATGCCCCTGGAAAGAAAACTGCTCTCACATTTATGTTGCTAATCTGGTGTGACTGGTTGACAGTGTGCAATTAAGTCATTCTCGCGCATTTACTCCAATCCGATTCAAAAACGGAATCGGTGCGGATTCAATGCCGATCGACAGCTTTGAACAAAGTGCATAAAGCTATTAGCCGGATAATCAATGATGTAAGTGACATGCCGAGGCTGTTTTAATAATAAAAACGCAGTATTGCTGTAGTTATAGATTGTTCAATTTCATTACGGGATCAAAATGTTTATTCAAGTTATATTGACATTGACATTGACAATAAATTAGAAAGTATTAAAACCTATTTTCAATATCAGTCATTTGCCTACTTTCAGTTTTTGAGTAAACGTTGTTAAGTTTAGAAATTCATCAGAGCCATGTTTACATGTGGCAGGTGGGGCTTGATCTGATCAAAACCGGTACCGCCATCGAATTCATTGACAATAATTTTCATACACTATATGACAGTTATTTAACCGAGATATTATTCACGCATATGGTTATATATAAAAAAAAGATGGCGAACAAACTCGTTTTCAGTTATGCGTAATCATGATGATATATAGTATAAGTAGGAATAAAATCACAAACTACCAGGAGTGATTGCATCATGAGACCGGAAGATGGATTCACAATAAACATTTATTTGCTCATTCGATCATCACGTTTCATCGGAATATGTATTGTGCGCAGTGGAGGGCAAGTGCCTGCACAAATTGGTTTTGGGCACAAAGTCTCCCACGGTCTCTACTGTAGCCAATATCCAACGGCGAACCAGCCTTGATAAACGACGACGAACCGCATATAGGGGGTGGGGGTGGGGGGGGGCAGAAAGCCTCGGCCATACCCACAGCCTGGGTGAGTTAATCATTTCGATGTTCACGAATCCGTGCTGTCAAGCGCCTGACAGTGCGGCCCTACGAAAGTTTTTCCACAGAAACCTGTTAGGTCCCAGGTTCGATGAATTTGCACTGCTGATGACACCCAACCAGAGAGAACACAACTTTTAAGTACATTGTATCTTTTAATTTCATGCGTTATGGTGCTCCGCAAGCAGTGAAATTCATCTATTAACAACAGGACACATGATCAAATCGAATCGTCACTCAAACAAATGAGTATATATTCAAAATGATATCTCAGGAATATAGTCCTTCAAACGCAACATTATAAAACTTGGACGTGCACAACACACGAAGCATTGATGCATACAACGTCCTATCAATCTCGCCCAATAATTTCCTTCGTACGATCCCAGCTGA